TATTTCTAGAGATGGAGCAATGTTATATATTGCAATAATTACTGATTCATTACATAAGTTATGTTCTGGCACATAAACATGTACAAGCATCAAGTAAATTTTTTAATATTTTATGATCAAAATGTATCAACGTATGATCATAAATTAGTTCATTATATAGAAATTCTGTTAATATGTTACGCTTCAAGTAAGATGTTAAGTAATATATTATGAGTAAGAGATTGAATAGTGTAGTTTACAAGTTTATGCATGCCAATTTAAAAAATTAAAAGTAGTTTATATTAATTAACTATACGTATTGAGGTTCATCTCAAAAACAAGTAAACTGTGGTATTTTTCAACAGTACGATTTAAAAGTAGAGGGCAAATTCGGGGGACATCGATATCAATTTAGTAACTTATTTTAATTTTTTCTGCCATTATTAGTTTTTTGGGTTTTAGTACTTTAACTTATTATATATAATAAAAGTTAAATAAGTAAATAAGTAAAGTGAAATTATCTACATTCAACAATATTGTTATTGGTAAAATATTATTTTCAAAACCGGGTCAAAGGGGGCGTCTATTAACCACGTGATCAATTTCTGAGGGATTTTTGAACCCTCCCCCACCAAACATCACATGTATTTTTAGTTAAGTAAAATTTTTCGAACGAATTTTTCGAATTGACGAAACAATCGTATTTTTTTTTTTAATTCAGGCAAAAAATAAATACACGTGATAGACCTTTCCCTTCCTCACGTAACTTTTAGTGATTTTTTATCAAACTCCCCACCTTTTCCCCAACCAAATGCAGACATGATCTCATATTTAAAAGTGAAAATGGGGGTTTGATTTTGGCTTATTAGGCATCCCATTATGATGCAAAATATTAAGCGGATTAAATCATTACTAGTAATATTACAACAAATCAAAGGATTTTAGATATAATTTCTTCATCTCCATATTTGAATATGCCATATTGCATTTATACAAATATGCCCTCTGATTAGATTCATCTCAAATAAACAAACTCCATTAGTTAAGTAAGTTCTTTTTATCCTTTTAAAATCGATTTCATCCTTTAAACATTAACTTCAAGCGATGATTTTTTTACGTAAGCATAAGTCTCAAAGAGCAAATATGTATAAGATTACATTAAAGATTAATGATGCAATTTGTTAAGGAGTATATAAATAATTTTCTATCGCAATATTTGCTAGACAATAAAAACATAAAAATTTATTACATTAAACGTAGTAGTGGATATGTTATCAGACAATATATTTACTTTTTACTGGTAATATATGCACCAGCAAATATTTACTAATTAACTTACAAAAATCTTAATGCATACAATGTTCTTATCTGAATGATTTTGCTCAAAATAATACAAATTGATATATACACTAATCATATATGAATAGGAATTAAATTACTCAGGTAGATTTATAATATTTACATTTTTAAATTAGCACCTATATTAATCCTACGTTTTTGAAATCTATTCTATTCATCTGCAGTATATGAGAAAATACTTATACATATTCTGACAATATTGTGATTATAATATTTTAAGATATTTAACTTTGTAATTACTAAGGAATACTAATTATTTTCTGATTTTTTATAATATTGTACGAAACAGAAAAGGGTAATTATTAAAATAAGGTAAAGTAAGGTAAGGTACAATCCAATAATTCCGATAAAATATTATATTTTATAAGTAAAAAAGTTATTTAATATTGCCGTTTAACGTGATTTAAAATTAATTCAAGTTTTTAACGCGTTTATAATAAATTCTTGATCAAAATTCAAGAAGAAATCTTTTAGCAGAATCAACTTTTGTTTAATCATGAATACTTTTTTTTTAATCATTACTGCAATGGGGTACTCCGATGCGGTAAAAAAACTAAAACTTTTTTAATTTGCTATGATTAAAAATGCTATGTTTGATTATATTATGTTCAAATCAAAATATGAGTTCTGTAAATGTCAGAATAAGAAAGTTTGTTGTAATGGTATTATTTTTATATTCTACTAGTATAACTTTTATGTATGCTGTACAATGTATATGAAATAATCGAGATTACAGATCTAAATAGTCTTATCTTTTTCAAGACTAAAAATAAATTTCAATTGTGCTAGAATCTAACAAGTAAGAATACTTTATCTAATGGGTATAGTTTATTTAATTAAAAATTAAATATCAATATTGGGTTTTTAAAATGCTTATAAAAATCTGTATGCTTAACTACATAAGTACTTGCTATAAGCAATTATTACTATGTCTATATTTATTTTTTCAAGAGATTTATAAAATACAAACATACTCATACAAAAAATAGATAGATAATTAGACACATACATATGTAAATATATTTTACAATTTACAATTTTTAAAAAATTTACAATTTTTAAATTCTGGTTAATTATTATTTCCTTGTTCTACTAAATTAATTTGTTGTACTACCAATAAAATTGAACGGTGATTCATTTCAAACAAAAACTGCTTTTCATTAGTCTGCATTTTTTGTTAAATTTTCTTATTCAAATAACTTAATATTCGAGCAAAATATTTTTTATAAAATTACTAAACCGGTTAAAACCGATTTTCTGGACTACTGAACCCGGTTTAGACCAATGAAAAACCGGTTTTCTAAAAGGTTTTGTATAGGCCTAAATTTCCACCTAATCATTAATTCAATGAAAATGCATTTTAATATCAAAGAATGGCATTATCATAGCTTTAACTAGTTGTAAGAATCGATTTCAAGAAATACCTATATACTTTTCTAGACAAAAATAAAAATCATATTATTGTTTACCTTAAAAATGATCAATGATTCAAATAATACGTGTGTGGTTTAGTTATTCAAATATATTTCGAGTCTCTTTCACCTCAAATTGTATAATTTCGAAAAGAATAAATAAATACAATCGTACTGGCACACCCATTAAAGTTTGTTTAATAAATCATCACTTAAATTTTATTACTTCGGTATATGTATTTTTCGATCCGCGAAAGCCATGTCGTCATCCAATTCGGTTCAGGAGAAAGTTACACCATGTTACGTTATGTTATGCAGGTGGAACTCATAATAATGTTACTTGCACGCATTATAAACCCATTGGTATTTCAGACAATCAATGAAATCGATAATAAATCTTTTGTTAGTTTAGTAATTGATTATTAATTGGTCATAAACTACAACATAATATTGTACGATGCGGCAGCGAAAATGAAAGGTAATGAATGGCGTTTTAGATCTAATAAAACCTTACCTAGACAATGCACAAATATAAAATATTGAATGTTATCACAACTGCATTTTTTTGATTTGTCATTGCAACACATACTTATAAGTAAAACCCCTGACTGCACAGCAAATACGTGGCGTTTTGACAGTTTTTACTACCAATTTATATGAAGAAAGGACCGAAACATAACGTTGTTATGGCAACGGACCGTAACATAGCGTTGTCATAACAATGTTATGTTGCTATCTCTTTTATCAGAGAGTTAGCCCTAATAGTCTAAGAGCCAGTGAACTATTTGACTAACCTGTTTTCACAAAGCTAGAATTTTTTTTAATGATATTTTATTATCGATCCATTAGGGAAGTACCATTCTGGCAGTCATTCCGCGGTTGCGTCATCATCCCTTCAATTTGTGAAAATGTAATAACAATTTTTTTATAACTTGCTCCTACAAGGCTCAAATTTTGAGGTTGTATTATTTTAACTGTTCAGAAAGCAAATGTGAAAAGCCAGCCCATTCTGTCGGTTGCAAGGGTCTGCCAGTCGAGTACATAATAATCACGTCGCGCAAAGGTGTAGGCGCATTGCCATACATAATCGACTAATACTCTTGTATTTGAATAATTTATACGCCATTTTGAAGGTTTTTTGAAAACATCCGATATACCAAACTTCAACTTTGTATCTCACCTTATGGCCGAGATATCATTGAAAATATGCCAAAGTGGCCCCTTTTTCAAACTCAATTTTTGGCGTAACCATAAAATATATCGAAAAAAAAATTACGTGATTCTATTCATATTGGCTTAGACCACATAATGCATATTAATATATGCTAAATAATCTTTTATTATTTAAAAAGAATATAATATTTTTTCGGATAGCGCGTTTTTTTTAATTACCTCATTATTAGCGTTATTTGAAAGCCTATTGTTTTTTCTTTTAGTACTGCAAGTATTATTCAAATCAAATTTGTGGAACTGTTAGTTTCCGGAAGCAAAATTTTCTTTGCCAGAAAATCCGACTGGCTTTATAATTCATTAAACTACAAATATGTAAAATATGCTTCTGGAATATCTCAGAATAATCATAAGATTTAATAATTATTAATAGATATTTAAGGTGATTCTTAAAATAATCAAAATTACTTCAAGTTCACGCTGTTCTTGATAAAGGTATTTGTTGACTTAAGACAAATTTAAAAATATTGTTTGGCTCGGTGAGTTGGCTAACAGCCTTAGATATTATTTGGCAAGTGAAAATGGCTTCAAGTAATTAATTTGATTTTATTAGTATTAATGAATACATAACAGCAAACACCGCATTATTATTATTATCATGCCATGTGTTGCATTTGATAGATAAAATTTTATAGTTTAATTTTTTATAGTTGTTTACGTATATCGAATACTTAAAAATTACTAAGTATTTAGAACTATGAAAACTATTTTTAATAAGGGAAATTTAACCCTTTTTTAACAGTATCTCACGCCACCGAGGCATACATGCGGACAAGAATAAATGGTGATGGTCCTTTTGTTATGGAAATTTTGGAAAAATAAAAAGACTATTTGTTACTAAACCAAAGTTTTATATTTTCTGAAATAACCTTTGATGATATCACAAAGTATACAATGACAAAAACGAGAAAAAAACACTTGTTAAGCACAAAACCGTTCTCGGGTTAACAAGTCAAATTTATTTTTTTATAATAAAATATTTTTCCATATATTTATATATTTAATTATATTATATTTTAGGTTTGGGTATGACATGGGCAGCCCTCCTGATTTCGGCATCTGTCCTCATCTTCATAAGTGTCCTGATTTTGTTCTTGAGCACCATGCGATCAGTTGCGAGGAACGAGAGGAGATTCTTATTCAAAGACACCAGTATTGTAGTTGGCGTATATACGGTATGTTATTAATTGATTATTTGCTTATTATTCAATAACAACTCTATTTTTAGATTCTCTTTAACATACGCAGGAAAAAATTTTAAAATGTAAATAACGAAGGTTTTTATCCACTCGGGAGCATATTACGTATTCCTGTCCGAATGGAAAACATAGTATAATCAAATCCAAGACATTGTTTGGCCTTGCGACTTATATAGTCATTGTTTATTCCAATCAATCGTATACTGAATACGTCTAGATTGCTTCAGTTTTTTTTTTTTTGAAATTTGCATTTTGTGTATAATTGTAAACTACTACTTGGGAGAGATAGATGTGAAAAACTTGAGAGTGACTTTGTTCTCATTTTGTGCCACTAAAATAAGATATTAACTTTACATTAATTTTATTAACTATGGTCAATTCTTATTTAAATTATTATTAATTTTGCCTTAAATTTTATATAGATATTTAATTTATTCTATTCTATTTATTCTATGACTTAGAATGTAACTATACGGTGGAGACGCCAAGTACGCCCCAAATTAAAATAACGTAACGAATAATATTGATTTAGAGCTTGGATCATATTATTTTGATACTCATTCGAGCCCCTTATTAATTGATCGATCAAGATCTTTCGTCCCAATTAACGGTTCTTTGAAAAAAAAAAACCGAAACAATTTAAATTATGTGAAACCGTTCAAATTTTCAGAATGAAAATGAAATTATTTTAAATTATGAACCAATTTCAAAATTATGATTTTTGTTTAATAAATCGGTTTGCAATGGGTTTTTTATACCAAGTTCGGTTAATTAATTTTGAATCGGAATCGGTTGATTAATTTTTTTTCATGATTAAAAGTATAATATTTTTTTGCTTACTTATTGTATTTAAAATCTATTTAATAATTATCCTTGTGTTTGTCATTAGTAGATACTAAATATTACCCAGAATAAATTTTTGTTGGAACTATTTGTTGGACTCAGATTTTATTTTACGGTGATCTTACAACTTATTTTATGCAATTGCTGTAAAAATTGTATACCGCGACATTCTGGCACTTAATACATATTGATTTGTTAGTGTTATGTTAATTTTATTTATTAATGTTTGTGCTTTTTGTAGGTCGTTTGCATGTGCAGCGTGTTCACCTTGTCAATACCACGAGCCCAACCATTATGCGAAGCTGTATCACAAGTTGTTTTTATGATAGCAGCTTATAGTTTTTATTCTCTGCTAGTCAAAAATTGTTCCAACTGCGATGGTGAATTAAGGGATGTGACAGAAAATACCGAAAAGGTACACACTTAAAATAGTATTCGATTTATGCTGATTATTCAATGTTCATTTAAAAGATTATTCATACATACCAACGTGGTCACATGCTTTTTTGGAATTCTATTATCCTGCGTAAGATAAGATAACTAGTATTTTTCTTTTTATACTTTTTTATATTTTTTATCCAGGCGTCGTCTCTTGCATATGCCGAAGGAAGTAGTTTTTGCTGCGATGGGCCTCAAAGCCAGATGTTAAAATCAATTAAGAGCAAACGGCGGGATGATGCGTGGCTCGTGCTGCAAGCTCCTCCTTGCTGCTGTTGGCCTTTCTGTGGACGACTTTTACCAGAAAGACCATTGAAAGTGTTAGTAGAATTACAATTTTCATAGTAATACAAGATTCAAACAAGTTGAAACTATGCATGTTATCGCAGTAATTATGTGGTTACGTTAAATTTTTTATGTAATTGAAATTATATAAGTTATTACTTTCTATTTTGTATAAATCGATAGCGATATATATTATTTTTTTATTTATATAGATGCCACATTACTAATTTGGGATATTTGGTATTACAAATGCCGTTTACTACATCTGTAGTATACTTTGTTCTTCTAGTCATGGCATCTGAACATCAGGTAAATCAATATTATGATAGTTATAAATTTGCATATCTTATATTGATTTAATATATTTTTTAGAGAATCTACAACACATATTACCAATTTCTTCAACCAATATGCTTGGCTTCTATATTACTTGGCATTTACGGAATAAATGTTACTTTAAAGTAAGTAGATAAAGATTAGATAAATTAATATTTGGAACATTTTTCATACTTATATTGAAGATATTAGTTGGACATATTTTTTTTAACATTTTTAATTACAGTAATTATTTTGACTCTATTATATATGGATTTTTGAATGGATGGCAACCTACTTTATTATGAGGATTTTTGAATAAATGGCAACCCAGTAGTTGTCCAAACCAATCATGACTAATTAACTATACTCGAAGTATTTCCTGACATTTTTATTATATATTTGCAACTATACCCACAAGAGACGATTTTTACTTGAGGCTATATTTGAGATCTTTAACCTCAAGTAGAAATTTGACATCAAAGTTGTCTGATATTGGGCTTTGGTGGCAGCGGGATTCGAACCATCGAACCCGGGACAAGTTGGTGCTAACCCACGTTCAAACCGATATTGCTACATATGGGCCAGTTGGACATATTTAACGTTTTTTTCTGTTTCAATATAGGACTTTGAATTAATGCAACAAGTTAAAAACAATTAAATAATGCACACTTAAAAAATATATAAACTAAATTATGTAAACTAAACAATAGTCTCAGAACCACTTTCGTCAAAAGATTGGCAATGTTGCCATTTATATCGTGCTAGCGAAGTCACCGGATTTAAGTCGATAGTTGTTTAGGCATCTTTTGTTCTCTACTTGAAAATAGTTATAAGTACCATACTTCACTTGATTTTTTGAGATAATGGTATCTAACTCTCTCTGTCCTATGTTGTTTCTAATTACAAGTGGATTTTACATTTGTGTTTTCAGATTGGCATCTGCAGTGTTACCAGAGAGGCCTCTGCAGAATCGGTTCCGGTGTTTGCAGTTAGTGTTGATCAGTACGAAGTTGCAGGCGTTGCTCATCCGGTTGCTTGCCAGCAACGGGGTCGTGCCATGCATGCCGCCATTGGCGCCGGCGCTTGTCTCAAATTGTAAGTTTATTTACCTATTTACATATTTGGACGATTTTATTGAGGTTATTTATATACATTTAATGACATGTGTTCAACACATTCAATTATATATTACAATAATTACTACTCGCAATTCAATTAGATATTACAATAATTACTACTCCCATATATTAAAATCCAGGAGAATATTAGAATATAGCCTTATGATTTTTTCTTTATTTACTATTGACATAACAATATCAAATATTAACTGCTATTTATTTCTACATGTATAAGTTTGATTTTTATCTCAAAATCAGAATTGATAATTCTAAAAATATATATTATATATAAATAATCATAATATAATATTATGATTATTTTTAAAAAAAAGTCAAAAAAGTCAACGATACGTGGTGTTCCCAAGCGGTCTCCCATCTAAGTACTACCCACGCCCGATGTTGCTTAACTTCGGTGATCGGACGAGAACCGGTGTATTCAACATGGTATGATCGTTGACGACGAAATAACGTTGTTTCTATTTCATAAATGTATAGTAAAGGGAATATAAATTATAAAAAGTAATATAATTATGAAAATAATCGAGTAATATATTTAGTAATAGAAATTATTTTTAATTTTATAGGATTTTTATTTTTTCATCTTTCATAAAAGCATATTTTATAATATTTCCAGAATAGCCAAATTAATATGCATAACGTGAATTATATTCAAATATGTACATAAATAAGCCAAACACGCCTGAAAGTTCTATTACAATAATATCGTTTAAACGAAAGTTTGACTGGCAAGAAATTAGTTGATAATTTCGTATAAGTGCCGTCAAAATCGAAAATGAAAATTTTTATATATCTTTACGTTTTATAGGTTTCTGAACATTTTGGCATACCTTAGAAAAAATGGATGTATGTGTGTGTGTACGGATACAAATTTTCGTCGACGATTTCGGGAACACGGTTCAACCGATTTCAATTATTCAAAAAACATTCGATTGCTGTTGATGGGGAGACGCGCTGATTACTTTTCGGTGAAGACAGGTTCAGAAATTTTTGAGATACGGGGCAAAATTGCCAAAATTGGTAATTCAGTTTTTGAGGTAACGGAGCTTCCGATTTGAATGATTTTATTTGTATTGACGAAATGAAGAATTGGTTAAATTTTTGGGTATGCAGATTTAGCAGTTTTGGAGATACAGAGAAAAATGTAAAAAAAATGATATTTGGCGGTCTAAAATGATTATTAGACATATTCACATCAAATCATCAGATATTTTAATAATAAGAACAAATTTTGTTATAATTTTTTTTTGGTACCGCGCAAAGATTTTTAATTTTTAAAGTTCACTTATACGGTTCAAATAAATTTCAAAATTTTTCAAAAAAAATTTTTTTTGCAGAATTTTCATAAATATACAAAGTAAAACTTTACTACTTTACTTTTTACTTCAAACGTAATATTTAAATTTACAATTCTGTTTAAAACTGTATATATTTCATATGCGTAAGAAATATATCCTCAGATGGAATCTTGTAGCATTTCTTCTTAATGTAAACATTTTCAAGTGTTGAGTGATAAGATCGTTACTGTATTACTCTTTGAAAATATTTAAAACAATTGTTATTAATCATTGATCAAAATTTATTGATTATTAATTGTTTTTGCTCGAATATTTAATTGTGGTACGGGAAGTTCCAGCAATTTGCCTTAAGGCACGATGCCATGCACCACTAGTTTATGGTAATATTGGCCAAACTCAAATAAATAATATAAACTATATGTTAATATGAAAAAAATTGATATCGGCTAAAATTATATAACTATTGTTTGATATTATCTGATTTTTTAATATACATTATTGCAAAAATTAATTATTAAATATCAGAATTATTTATTACCTATGTTAAGTATTAATTTTTCGCATAATATTTTCAATTCTTATTTAATATTTATTTTTATTTTTCAGTAATTCAAAATTCGCTGGTTCTATGTGAAATGCTGCTTTTAGCTGTTTGGGCGCGTTTTATTTACAGAAATCCAGTATCGAAGCAGGTACTTTATTTATAAATAATTGTTAATAATTTCATTTTTTTGTCCTTTTTAAGCTATTCAACTAGTTAGTTCTATTTAACGGCAGCAGATGATATAATTTATAATTATCACACAAAATATAGCCGGGGTATGACTTAGACGGCCTTCATAACTAATAATATACGAATATTAATAAATCTTCATAACTAATAATATACGAATTGTATATTAATCGAATTATTTAGGAGTGGATAGTTTTTTTTTGTGATAATATACTCTATACTATAGGTTCTCAAACTTGTTTGTGTCGTGGACCCCTTAGGCTTTGCCATGGACCCCCTATTTAGCCGATATCGATTTTTTTTATAAATGCGTATTTGTACTAACGTTTAGTATTAAATATTTGAAGTTTATTATATATTTATTAATTGACTTCAGAATAATAATAAAATAGATAAAAATGAGGTTTGTTGTGATCCACTATCGTGGATCTCCATACCTTTGAGGGTCCATATTGACCACTTTGGGAATCACTGCTCTATACTAACATAAAAAATGTTTTTGATGCCAAATTTCAGTAGTTAGACAAAATATTATTTCCAGGATGAAAATACCCCTATAAATATTGCAGTAAGTGCAAGAAGCGACAACAACAATGCTGTTTTGGCAAATCCTCAAATCGCAAGGCCTTGGACTGGATCGAAAGATAATGCTTTTGTGATCGAAAATCAGTACGGAGATATGACTAGTCCAGTAAAACATGCGTCCAGATCTACCAGAGACAATACCAGGAGTGATGTGCACATGTAGTACAAGATCTTAATATGATTGATTATGCGAACTTTCGAAGTAGTTAATCTGCGCGTTTTTGTATATAATTAAAACTGATCTGAAAGAGGAATTTGAACTCATATATACAGCTAAAACCCATTTGTGTTATAAATGTAACATATATTTTGTGGCCTTATGAAATTTGTGGCATATAATAGCATATAGGGGCAATAATTGTATTTATTTGCAAGAACGCGTTGGATAATATAGGCAATAAAGATTCATATAAATTAATATACATTATCATATTATTTAAAAAATAGCGAAATTATGAATATTATACAATTATTGCTCCTGGTTAGATCTAGATTTATTGTATTAAATTATAAATGCAGTTTATACATTAAGTTAATTGCATTCATATAGCTAAGTATTAAATAGTAAAAAAGAAATCTTCAAATAGCAGCTAAAGATATTCTAGACGGAAATGATCAGTAAAATATATTTGCACAAGTATCAATTTGTGCAAATTTGATTCAGTTTTTTTACAGTAATTACGATTTTTTTAACTGAAAACTTGTCAATTTATGCCGACTTTAAACTTGCTTTATTTTACCACAAAAAATATTTTTCGATGTGAATTAGATCGTAAAAATATGAGATTTTTTCAAATAGCTTTTTTATGAAGTAATTTAAGTAACAAATTGAATTATGATTAATCAATTAATAGCAAAACAAAATGAATTTAGCGTTAGCGTTAACTATAACGATCTGATCGAGAATTGATATTGTTTGCAAATGATATCGATCTAATTATTTTATAAAATTTTATTTTTACATGCTTATACCAAAACAGTTTTACAAGACTTAAAATAAATTATTTTATTGTAGTACATACAATGGTGGAGCACCTCAAACTCGCAGGGGGCGCGTTTTGACGATTTTGCATGACAGACAACCCCGAAAATTTGGTTTAATCAAATCACTGAGAAGTAGTGTAAACTAGTGGTACAAGTTATTTTCAAATTTTAAGATGTTTGGAATGATTTCTATCATAAGAATTCGCCTTTGAGTGTCTTACAAATTTTACAAAATTTACTTCCTACATTTGTATGACTAACAATTTGGCAGAAGAAGAAGTACAAAAACTTATAAATAAGTAGTATTTTTTTAAATAAATTTTATTTACTCTTTGTACAATAATATTATATTAGTTTTAAGTCGCTTAAGAATTCATATGCAGATTTCATAAAAGTCACTTTATATGAATGTACTGTATTATTATCTCAGCATTAAGTAGCCTGAGAATTATTGTAATTTAAATGTGTTTATTTTTAATAATATAACATTGAAACAATAATTATCTATTATCATTTTAAAAGAAATTATTGTAAATAGAGAAGTTTAGCAAGTGCTATGGTGAAATTGGCCAAACAATATTCGTAAATTTAATTCGATTCATATACGTGTTTTTTACTTTTCTATCTTATTAACTTCCCGTAGGGCAAGTTATAGTAATCGCAAAAAATCGAAAATGATCTTTTATATATATATATATATCTTTACGTTTCAAAGGTTTCTGAACATTTTGGCAGACCTAAGAAAAAATGGATGTATGTGTGTGTGCGGATACAAATTTTCGTCGACGATTTCGGTAACACGGATCAACCGATTTGAGTAATTCAAAAAGCATTCGATTCGTATTGATAAGGAGACGTGCTGATTAGTTTTTGGCGAAGGCAGGTCTAGCCGTTCCAAAGATACGGGGCAAAAAGTGCCAAAAACAGTAACTCAGTTTTTAAGAGCGTAATAATTCAAAAAACATTTCACTTGTATTGACAAGCTAAAAAACTGATTAAATTTTTGGGAAGGCAGGACTAGCGGTTATAGACTCTCAATAAAAATAAGTTAAAAAATGTCATTTGGCGGACAAAAATGTTTATTGGACATATGTACATCAAATTATCAGATATTTTATAGAGATTTTCATAATGTGTACTTTTTTGTGTAATTTTTTTTTTGGGTTCCGTACCAAGATTTTTAATTACGGTACGGGAAGTTCCAATAATTTGACTTAAGGCACGATGCCATGCACCCCACTAGTATTATGTTACTGTAAAAATCATTTATAAAAAAATTAATTAAATAAATAAATAATAATAAATAAAAAGAAAGGGAAAAATGACTCCATTTTGAAAAAGTTACAAGCTTAGTTCGCAAAACTGACAACTCATAGTTCGCACTTTCGCCGCCAGGACGTCAACAAATCAATCAAACAAGCGCTGTTTGGTTATGTGTATTTGGCTGTCACCTAATTTTTACGCAAATTGTGTCGGCCCGGGATAAAATAATCGGTTCCTTCTTTAAAGTGTTTTTGTGCGTATAAATAAATTATTTCCTTATTATAAATTCAAAATGCCTTCGGTGAAAGGAGCAGAAAGCGATGCTGACGATATGTCAGGGGGCGAAAGCGACCATTCAAACTCGAGTAGGGCCCCCGAGAGGGACTCCAGTGCCGAAGAAGCTGATGAATTGGAATCAGATGACTCTTCTGAAATGGATGAGGTTGAATGCGATCGAAGAAGAAAAGAATGCTTGGAAATATTAGGTACACAAACAAACATAACCTAAGCTGTCAACAGCTGATTGATGGCGTGCCTTGGCGCCCAATATAAGAAAATGTAAAATATCTAGCTTATAGCCATATTTTCACTTTAATTTCACTTTACTTGATTTTTTCATTTACAAAAATAACTGTTTCTTATTTTTCTCAAGGCAAAAAAACTCTAAGGATTACTTTTTTAGTGTAACTTTGGTTTCTTTTGAACAGATCTTTCTTAGATTTATACATACTTATACATTTTGTAACAATGTTAAATTATTCGACAAGGCATCTAAAACTACAGCTTCTAAAAACAAAACATTAGCTTGTTGAAACATCTTTACGTTTTAATAAATCGGCAAATAAAACTTGCAATATACTGTAATACTGTATACTGTGTTTGCAATGTACTGCAAATGTAAGAAAGAATTAAATTGATCATTTCTATACATAGAAACGTTGATTTTATAGTTGAATATATGTTATTTAAATTTGTAGTTCTATCCAAAAAGTAAAATGGTTTTTCTTTCATTTAAAAAATGCTAAATAAAAAACGGTAGTCATTGAGATTTAGAAAAACTTTCAAATTGGATTTAATTTTATCATCAATATTATGTATAGGTTTCTTATATCTAAGCTTATTAATTAGAAGGAAACTTTACATTTAAAAAAAACCTCGTATAACCCACTTGAAAAAATAGTAAATTATATAACATGACATTTTTCAATGTCGAATGTTTTAATTATTTAAACAGATACTAATTGTAATAGTAATTAAAATGCTATAAATCGTAAAGAATTTCAAAATATTTTGAATCAATTTCGTATAGTATCTTATGAAAATCTATTTTATTATTACAGCTGACTTAGAGCAACAATTCTTAGCAATACGTGAACAGCTTTACAAAGAACGTATAAGTCATGTAGAGTGGCAATTGTTGGAAGTGAAAAATGGGAGGTCAAGAGAATATCTTGTTCCTTTGCAGAGGTTGCAAGAAAATATGAGAATTAGGCATGAGGTCGCTGGGACATTGAAGCAATTTAGATTAAAAAATATCCAACATAAATATGCTGCTGAGGAACAGGCAGCTAGGCAAAATTTTGAAGTAATAAATATAATTATATCATATTAATATATGCAATATTGAAATTGGAATTGAGTTATTATAATTGCAATTAATTTTTTGTCATACTCTTTAAATATCTCATATAATTCATTATTAGAAATTAAATTAATATAATATCAACTGCAAAATATTGTTGACCGATATTTTATTTCATATTTCATTATTTTAGTACTGAGCAATTGTATTGCATTTTTAATCATTTATATAAATACTGTACTTATTATTTCATGATTCTAACTTCTAAAACTGCTTTTTCTTTGTTAGAGTGAAAAATCCCTTGCTGTTGATTTCATACATGAAGAACTGCTAGATAAAATCAGACGCTTAGAGGAAGACCGTCATAATGTGGATATTTCATGGGCAGATTGGAATACAGGGTCACGGTCAAGTAAAGTTCGAGGTCCAGGTCGGCGTAAAGCGGTTACTGTTTCTGGACCTTACATTGTATATATGCTTTCTGAACAAGATATTCTCGAAGACTGGACTGTCATTCGGAAAGCATTAAAACGCACAGTTCCTACTTGACACCACATATATAAAATGTGAACATTTTCTGTGAATGTATGAGGTTTAGTGTTTTGAACCATGTCTATGATAAATTATATAAGTATGTTTAGTGAATTTTCTTAAAAACTGTAAAATTCTATAAATTTTGAGGATTATATGTTTGATTGCTTGAAACCATAATAAATGGGTTTTTGTGATTTTAGTTAAGTTGAAATCGATTTTAATAATTTAAATTCTGTTTGTTGTAACCATTATGCAAAGAATACAAAAAAAATGTTAACTATATAATTTACAAAAAATAGAGCCCAGTTTTAATTGTAAAAGTATTGATCACAAATATTGTAGCTATTTTGTTCAAGAAGGGTTTATATAATTTATATTTAAATATAAATCTATATTATGAATAAATATATTAATGTATGCAAAATTGTATATTTACAAAAATGACCATCTAAGTGTATAAATTAAAATTATGTGAATTTGATTTTATGATAAATTTTATTCATCCTATATGTACAATCAATAAATTTTATAGCAAAATTAAAAACCTTTATTTAATAAATACTCTTCGACATAAGCTACATAATCACCTTTTAATAATATTTGACCTGCTAATTCATTCACTTGTGTTGCTACCTTTCGTTTCATTTTTTGTTCCGTATATTCTTTCAACTCTGAAGCTAATTTCCAAATATCACCTTGAATTCTCTTTACTTGAGTCAGTTTTCTCAAATTTCTGTGCGATAATTTTAAATATACTGGTAGCATATGATTTCTAGTTCTTGCAATATAGTACGGATTATTTACACACGATGGATCTTGAGGTTTCCACCCTGAGGGGTAAGATTCTTTCATAATAGGATTTGGCACTGCCTTTAGGGGTAACAGTTGCTCTACAAATTTCCATTCTGGAGGATTTGGAATAATTTCATATTCAGGTAAATTACTAACTTCTTCGACTGGTTTAGAACTTCTAAAACTCGAGTTACGACATGGAATCTAAAAATCGGAATTTCATAACATAACCCCAAAATGTGCAAATACAGAATATAATAAATTTAAAAGAACGTAATATAGTGTATTAAAAATTACCGATCGAACGACTGCAGGCATCAGTTTTATTATGTTCATGTCGTTTTGTTGATATTTCGCCACTAATGTTGTTAAATTAAATGTCAAATTGCGAAGGGAATGAATCTTGGCGAACGCCATTTTGTTATCGTTGGCATATTTCAGGCCAGTCGTTCATAGAACGGTAGAGCGACAGAATAAAATAAGAAGAAATTACTTGTAAGCGATACAGACTCGCATAGTGATATGTCTATTCTATTTTTTTTAATTAATGTACGAAGGGGTCGCAAATGACCGAACAATTGTTGAATTTTAGTGTATCAACCTTTTTAGCAAGTAGTAAAAATAGTGTAAAGTGCTTTAGTAAATGAATACAACCACGAATTGAGTCAAAATAACACGGTTCGCTAGTCGGGAAATGAGTTGTGCTTTCAGGCGACGCAGTTAATATAGGTGGCGTGCGGTGCGGTAAGTGCTTTCACACAATTTTCACGCTAGTTTTCCCCAAATCACTGTTTTCCCTTGTGTCGTGCATGGAAAATCGCGCCCCTACTATGAGTTAGACTCGCGGTGTTTGGAAGTTTGACAGTAAGTCGCAACGCCCGGCCTTTCTGAAGTGTTTGAAGTTACGATAAATATAGGTTTCCCTACAAGTGTCTCGGCAAAAAATTCACGTAGGCTTATTGATGCATGATTTGGAGCCCCCTTTATTTTATGTTGTGTTATTTGTAATCGACATAGCCTAAAAGTGAATAGAAATTTGACATATAATTGTGACACGTTCTGTGTCATATCCCTCGGGGCTCCGGATCGCGGAGCGTGCATTGCGATGAGACGGGGGCCCCAGTCGGGCCGGGAATTCGCAAGCATCGCGCTCGGGCCTCGGCTGCGTTCGGTGCGAGTCGGCAAATCTGCTCACGAGGCGAGGGGACAATTCGACACAACAAGTGGTCGCTGCTCGGACTCGAACTCGAACTCAAAAGCGTTTCGTAGGGTCTACGCCGGCCGAGATCTCTCGCCTTGCGGCTGCTTACGTTCTTACGTAACGTTCTCTAATGTTCGTCGTATCTCGCTTTGTGTGCTTGGAGGGTGTATTTTTTCTTTGCGTATATGTTACCATATCTCATGCATTCATGTGTGATCTTATGCATGAATTGATTGATAACGCGCAAATAGGGAAGTTGAACATTGTGCTTATGATTGCGAATGATTTTCCGCTTCGAATCGTTTGTGTGGATTCAGCGACCTGTCGATTCCATTGAATTTATACCGAATTGTGACTGTCTTTCAATTTATTAATTGATGATTTATATTTTGTTAGTTCTGCAGTAGTAATATATATTATTTAAAATTGTACAAATATTTTGTTTGTACAAAAGTTTTCCATCAAATATATTATTTCATTCTTTATTTATTATAAAAATAACTAGTGGCGCATGCCATCGAGCCTTGCAGCAAATTGCTGGAACTTCCATGCGGTAATTTAATTTTTTTATAGTATCAACCCCTTCCACTCGGATGCCGCCGCTCCGGCGGCAAAATACATATGGATCTCGCAATTCGCGAGTGGAAAGGGTTGAGTTTTTTTTCGAAAATTTTGAAAAAAAAAATCTATTTGCGTCGCAGTCTCTAACGATTAAACATTATAAATCTTGGTACGGAAACCGTCGAAGTATGTATTTATTATTAAAATCTCTATAAAATATCTGATAACTTGATGCACATATGTCTAATGATCACTTTTGACCACCAAATAGCATTTTTTCAACTTTTTTCATTGGATCTCCGAAAACGCTGGACCAGTCTTATCTAAAATTTAATCAATTTTTCATTCTGTCAATACAAGTGAAATGTTTTTTAAAACCTTCAAATAGGACACTTCGTTCTCTCAAAAACTGAATTGCCATTTTCGGCACTTTCGAACGTTTTTTGAATCATTTAAATCGGTTGATCCGTAGTCTCGAAATCGTGGACGAAAAATTGTGTCCAAACATACATACATCTATATACACACACGTAAAATAAAATGTTCAGAAACCTCTGTAAAAGTTCAGATTTGCAAAAACAAAATTATTTTCCATACTAATTTCCAAATTTACCCTACTTGAACTTAATCATTAATCTTCACCAATTCAACAAGATAAGATGTTAAACAAGTATATAATAATCTAATGATTCATAATTTGTATAACAAATCTATAATTTGAATCGTAATTTAAAACAACAGTTTTAAAAATAAAATTATTCACAGGTTATTAAAACATTTTAAAACTAGTTATATTTGAGTTATTAGGCAAAAGCAATTTTATTGCACAACTGTCACAGTTTATTCAGTAAATTTATTACAAATTATAGTCCAGTCATTTGGTGCAAAAAAGGCTGTTGCCGGTACAGTACTCCGGGATTTCTGAAAATTGGTAATCTTATAGATTTCGAGGTGCTCTTTACGAAAATCAACTTTGCCACCTCAAATTTGAACGGCAAGTTGCCGCCATATTGGAAAAATGGCGTCAAACAACAGCTTTTTTAAAATATCTCCTTTCTGGCTCATTCTACGATAATAGTATCTATGTACGAATTAAACTAGATAAAATTTCCTACAATTCTTTAGAAAACCGTTTTTCTGTGAAATTGATAGTTTGAGAGTACGGCCGCCTCAAAGTCTTTACTGCTCTCGCCGTAGTATCAAATCTCTCCATATATGACAGCACCTTGAACTTGATCACATTCTCTCTAATAATTAATATTTTCAATGTTAAATTAAGCGAATGAGATCTAGAAATAAAATAATTCAAATATTTGTCTGTTTTTTGCTGATTTTTTAACTCTTAATGGCTAAGTAGCTATAAGTAAGTAGCTTGAAGTGTTAAAAAATCAGTAAAATAACAGAAAAATATTTGAATTATTTTATTTCTAGATTTCATTCGCTTAATTTAACATTGAAAATATTTATATATTAGAGAGAATGTAGTCAAGTTCAAAGTGCTGTCATATATGGAGAGATTTGATACTATGGAGACTTTGAGGCGGCCGTACTCTCAAACTATCAATTTTACCGAAAAACGGTTTTCTAAAAAATTGTAGCAAATTTTATCTAGTTTAATTCGTACATAGATACTTTTATCGTAGAATGAGCCAGAAAGGAGTTATTTTGAAAAAGCTGTTTTTCGACGCCATTTTTTCAATATGGCGGCAACTTGCCGTTCAAATTTGAGGTGGCAAAGTTGATTTTCGTAAAGAGCACCTCAAAATCTATAAGATTACCAATTTTCAGAATTCCCGGAGTACTGTACCGGCAAAACGACCAAGTGACTGGACTATTAATTTAATCATAAGATTATATTTTTATGAGACTTTATAAGAGATCAAATAATTTTTTTATCTCTTATAAACATTTATTGTTGTAGGAAAAAATGTTTGTACATAAATATTTTTTTAAAATTGTGATATTTCAAATTGTTTATATATGTTCTAAATTCTCTAGTTGTTTTGAAGAAAATATGATTATTTGTGAAGTTAATTTGAAAAAGATTAATTTCCATGTTATTTGTGTATAAAAAGTGGTGATGGCAATATAAAATAAACATCCAGAATATCTAATCTTTCAATTCAAAGCTAATTTTTGTTAGAGGAATTGAGATTTTTACTCGACAATCGGACAAACGAGAAAGTTGAGTTGGTAATGCATAGAGTACCGGACGAACAGAACAGAATACATTATTCCGCCACTCTTGGCCACTCTTGAGCTACGTTCTGTTTTCACATGAAGCGTCGCTACTCTACTCTACTCGTACATGCAATGGCGGAAAGGAAAATCATTTCCAGAAGAAATCTCCGCGACGGGGCATTGTGGTCTCGAGTCTTGTCGGTGCATAGACAGAACAATCTGTTAAAAGATAGATCGAATAGAAACGATCGACTCAAAAAAGTTCATGTCAAAGCTCAGTCTAATGTTATATTTTATTATTTTTTTTGTTCATGTTAACAATTTTAGAATTCCTTTATTATGAACTTTGTTTTAACCCTCCGTCGGTCGGATATTTATTCACCTTCGAATGGTCGGAGTGGTCTGGCTGGACCACCATTCATTTTACATGCATTTATATGGGGTAAATAAGTTATTGGTCTCTTATATGTTAACGATTATTAGTAGTAAATATTTGTTGTTTTGATTTTTTCTTTTTTCTGCATGTGTTGAGCTTGCTTATAATAAAAAAAATTATATATTATATTATATTGTATAAAAAATTCAAAGATTATAAAAAAATCGTTACTTTTTTATTATTTTTATTTTTCTATTTTATATCAATGAAAAACGATATTTATTCTTTTTCGGCTCCTTCGAAATGAATGTGAAATTCAACTGAAAACGAAATGAGGTGCGTCGCCTTTGAAATGAGCTGTAAAATTCAAGTTACAAATATAATTTCACTACAGGTTTTCCAAAAAAATTTTTGAACGCAGTACGGGTAGAAAAATTGTTGATAATGTGCGCATTACTCAGCCGATTTTCAATGTTTGCGATGACCAATAAGTTTGGTAGGTTTTCAAGGAACTCTCGTCGTGAAAATACTAACATTCATGTTACAACACATAGCAAAGAATATATAAAACGCAGTTTGAATAGAAAATACCAGAAAAAAGACAAAATACTGGTTTACATATATCAAAAAGCGTATATTTCATACAAAATGTATGGGTGGTCTAGACAGACCACTCCGACCGTTCGAAGTATAAAAAAGTTAATATCCTTATAATTATCCTTCTGTACATTTTTTCGTCCTGATTTTTTCATTGATCGACAGCTAATGAAATTTTAGGAAAAGTCAGGAAATTTTAAGTCGATAGAATTACTAGAAGTATTTTTTTTTTAATTAAAGCCGAAAAAAGTCTGGCCAGACCACGCCGACCGACGGAGGGTTAACAATATACTTCAAGACTTGCATGAAAACTTTGTTCGGAAACCAGATCCAGGGTAAATTTACGAATAAAAGGATATTTTTTAATTATTTTGAGATTTCTCAATTTTACTTAAGATTTACTTATTAGAATACGAATTTTCGATATATGGAAGAAAAACTAAAAATTTGGAAACGAATCGAACGATGTATAATACTTTATATGGTTTCTTTACGAATTTATGAAATATTTTAAATAATTGCTCAAAGTATATTCCATAATAAATTTAAAAATCCACTTATCTTATCTAGAAGAATACGATTAGGATGAAAGTATTTTAAGTTTTAAAAGGTAGTTAATTTTTTACATCTAACTCTATCTAACTATAATTTTCATGTTCTTTCTTTAATAAACTCTATTTCGACGAAAGGATAAATAATACTATTTTGATTATTTTAACATTTTTATCTTTTTTTTCAATTAAATTATTTTGTCCAAAACTTGAAATTATATTTGGCCGATCAGTGCACAAAATCATTAAGTTTAAAAATAAAAACACGATAC